GGTCATGTTACTTCTTTGTTTAATACTGTATATACATATATCCGTGTCAGTGTAAATTACTTGTACCTGATGATGACAAAACCTTGTTGAAACGTTGTACATTTGCTGTTATGTTAAACGTATATTAAAGTTTTTCTTCATTACCCATTCAAGCCGTCTCCAACCATTATTAGTCTCAAAGTGGGTTCCTCATCATCGAATTCTTCATCTATTCCCTTAGAGATTTTCAAGAATTAAAAGAGTGTATAATAATAGTGTGCTAACTGTTGTTGTATTAAATGACTTATATAAATGATGTTCCGACCATTTCTATGTTTATTGTATCCCAGCCGGTCTGATGAGCTCTGGATTGAGCGAAACGCATCATCGACAATGCAGATATAATGTGGTTGTAATGCTGTTATTATACACACAATTCTAATTCTTGAAAATTCTTAAGGAACTAGATTAAGAATCTAGTATTTGAAAATGTAATAGGCCTAATACTGATATCTTATGACAAGTATAATTGTAATCATTCTTCGCCGGCTTTTAAAATGTCATCAATGATGTATGATTTAGTTGAATGTTGGAGGGCTCAGCAGAAACTTGACGGAACCAATATGTTGTAGAAAATAGAGCGGGACCGTTAGAGTTCATTCTGGAAGTTTCGTAATAAGAAACTGAGACAATAGGGGTGTATTATTGTTAACATTTGTATGTCGTTCTATCATCCGTGTCTTGTTTAAACAATGATTTTCAGCGGGTAACATGAAAACGAAAAGTCCAAGAGTTCTTGAGTTGCATTGCTGGCCCGTGAAAATAACGTAGTTATTCAGCGTGTTATCAGTTTTTCATACTTGAAAGGATACTAACAATAATTTTCCTTGTTTGGTTTGTAATGTGTGTCATGTAGTTGTAAGCCAAATTATTATCCGGAACGGAATCTTGAACTTCTATTGTCATTGCTTCTGTGGGAATAGCAAATTGGGCCGATATATATATGTGTGTGTGTAAGAAAAACATGGGCAACTTTAGAAATGTCATCCACAAACACTATTTATATCTGAACAATATGTTTTCAGGATTATACTGTAAGTCTAAGTTAATTTTTTTTTTCGGTGGCAGATGTTGGCATATTTTTGCTACCTCCACCTGCAGCTCTCCTACGTAACACTTTTTACCTTATATTTACTGCATTCTACTCAACCTGGGCGCAGACAGCTTCACATGACACAAAAGGATAATTGGTACATAATTTACTCCGCCCTGACACGAATCTTGGATGGAATTTGTATAAAAAAACACACCGACCAAAATTATCAAATCACACAAAGTTCTTTTCAGGATCCTCATGAAAGAATCCGACGATGTCTAAAGGAAAAGGTTTATTTTCTTTCTCAACGTAGATTTTTTAAGATGAGAAAACTAGCAAATTTTTATCAATTTTGGGCACACGGTTTAAAGGTTTAAACAAAAGCAAACGAAAAAAGTCTGAAAGGGCTAGGCCTACCAACTGAATTATAAGAATACTCATTCGTCAAAATTTTCTGTCAAAACAAAGTTATGGTTGTAGTTATGAGCTTCTCGTTGCGAACTCGTCACTGTTGTTTTTATGTTTTACTAGCTAAACAAGGAGAAATGCAGCGCTATATAACATACACGTATATATGTACGGACGCTCGACTCGCGGTCTTTGTGTCACGGGATCGAAACTCGATGCCGAATACGTTTGCCCTTTCACGTGTAAATGTGTCATAATGTAACAGCCAATCTCATTATTTAATTTAACTGCAGTTTGTTTTTGTAGTCCTCCAACTTGTCCATTTCTGCTCGAAAGTAGATGTATGTGTAAAAAGTAGCATTTAAAAATAACAACTGCTACTTTGTTTTAACTATTTAGCCGGCTTTCAGTATCTAAACTGTAATTCCACCATTCGTTGGTAAAGAGTAACCCAAGAGTTGGCGGTGAGTGATGTTGATTAACTGCCTTCCGTGTATCTAGTATTTCACTTTAAAATTACGGGAAGATAACCCTCGACAAGCTTTATGCGAAGATCAACAAAAAACAAATCGGATGTTTTGTTACTTATTGAAAATGGTAATCGTTCTTATAAATTTAATGCACTAAAGTCCATAGGATTCCTAACAAAAGCTAAAATCATTAAATGAATTTAGATTTCTGTAACACTATATAACTTTCATGAATTTTGCCTACATTTCCAATAATAAAAATAACTCTTATTTCGTTACTTAAAAGAATTGTTTGTAATAAGGAGTAAGGAATGCAATGAGATAGTAGTCATCTCTTACACAAAAGAAAAAAAAAACAAGGAGAGAGAACGCCATTATATTCGTTTCAGCTTATTAGGGGTATGGTAATGTAATAATATACATACTTTTGTTGATTATGCACGTACAGTGGAGCGTAATGATTATGTCTTAGCACAGAGACATACCGTTTGCCTATGGTTTCTCCTTCTAAACACTTTCAAATCGACCTTCATTTAAGTTTAGGAGAATTCCTGGGTGATCTGTTTATGGGGTGATTTATCTATTTTCTGGCATGGCCAGGTAGTTAGGGCGCCCAACTCGCAAGCTGCGGGTGGCGGGTTCGAATCCCTGTCCCACTAAACATGCTTGCACTTTCAGTCGTGTGGGCGTTATAAGTGATGGTCAATCCCACTCTTCGTTGGTAAAAGAGTAACCCAAGAGTTGGCGGTGGGTGGTGATGACTAGCTGCCTTCCTTCTAGTCTTTCACTGCTAAATTAAGGACGGCTGGCGCAGATAGCCCTCGTGTAGCTTTGCGCGAAATTCATAACAAGCTAACCCAATCTATTTTCTTATTTTTATTTCGCGAAAACACGTTTGACGTGATGCGCGTCGATCACATTTTTAAAGAAGCGATTTCTGATTAAGTGGGACTTTTTTCCACTAGTCTTTTTTTAAGGATTTTATGTAGTCAAAGGTCAAACAACCCCAAAATACATATTCTTGGCTCGTGTGCAGTCATATTTACAACAATAAAGATGAAAAATGACTCAAATATAAATTTTTATGCGCCCAACACATTGATAACAGTCGGATTTGCCCATTTTGAGTCTTTTTAGAGAGGTTAGAGCTGACAAGAAAGCATAATTTTACAAGTTTTGGTTAATTACTTAGCGTATTTCTTTACCATGGGATTTTGTACAAAGATACTTTTGTATAGGTCCTATACATATACATATAAAAACGTGGGATACGTACATTTTAGGGGAGGTGGTCAAAAGGTTAAATAAACCCATAATTTTACAAGTTTTATTTAATTTCTTTACCATGGGATTTGGTACAAAGATATCTTCTTGCAGATCCCAAGCAGTGATATAGACAGTTTTCGTTTTTTCTGGTGTCAAAGTTGGCCATGTTGGGATTGCGAGGCGGAGGCATGTTAACCTATTTAATTTTTTTTTGTACTTTACATTCATTATCTATTAGAGTCAGTATTTTAATTAAAGATGCGAGTTTTATATGTGCAACAAGGAACAGCTTCAGAGTTATCCTACAAACACATTACAGTTTTTAGCATTATAACACCGATGAGTTGAAGACTGATGTTTGTGACAGTGAGATTTGATAGTTTGTTTTTATACTTTTTCCTGGAGTTACAAAATAGGATTTATCACTGCCATCGAGTACCAAGGCGTTATGGGGGTATTTTAAGAATCGAAATATATGGTCAGTCTCATTTTAACCCATATCATAAGTTTCGTGTAACGAAAGTGGTTTATATGAGCATGCGGAGGCAGAAACCGTGTTAAACGGGGCGTATAGCATTTTCAGGAGATAATTCCCGTAACAAAACTCATTGCGATTATAATGATTAAATTATACACTAACACCTAAGGAGGTAGCGCCAAGTTAGGGAAAGGTTCTGACGATACGCTTCATGTATTTAACTACGAATAGGCGAGAATGCAAAATACCCAGCATGTAAAATAAAGCCCTGTATTTCGAAGTAGTTGAAGATCCACACATCACTTGCTCTTCTGATCAGGACACTATAAAATTCGGTAACTGAAAGACTAATTCATTTACGGTTGGAGTATTACCTCCCTAGGAATGAAGGTGTGGTGACTC